GAGCCAGAGCGGAGAGAACAGGCAGACTGACGAAACACACTGCTGAGGGGAGCAGTGGGCGTGGCAGGAGAGGTCTACATGCCATGTGGGACCCTCACCCGATGGCAGGGGATGGCTGGGGATCGAACCAGCGCTGTAGAGGCTGCGGGCAGCTTCGCAACCCAGCGCTCAACTGCTGGGCCACCGGGGAGGCCCAGTACTTGAATTTTAAATGATAGTTATCACTTTCAATTAAGTGACAAAACAGAAGGGGCTCAACTCCAAATTTTTAACCTCTTTTACCTTTAGAAGAAAGGGGAATAGGAATAACATTCCCAATGAGTAGGGATGTTAAAAATAACTGATTCTGAGCCTCACTCAACGTTAGCATCCCTGATTAACAGCCAGGAAGACAGCTTTATTAATTGGAGAGATAGGAGATTATTTTCAAAGGGTTCCATCTACTTTTAGAAAGTATATGGGAATCCAGGGAGAGTATAAGGAAAGTAGATTAGCTTTATATTTAGAGTGACTATCCTACAGAAATGAAGTGTTAGAGGTTTATCACCATATTTTTTAATTTTAGTTTTGTAAACACTGCCTAAAATTACATTAGCATTTGTGGCAGGCCTGCCACTTGCTAATCAATAGTATAAGATGTAGTCAACTAATTCTTCCATTTAATGTTTACCAGACCAACTTAAGTTTTAACCTCCTTGAATGTACAAACAAGTTCTTTCAATTTCTTAATGACTGTACATGCTACAAACCAATAAATTTATAAATGTTGTTAATAATAGCTATGAATTCCTGCTTTTATGCCATCTGAGCATTTAATAAGCATGTCCTTAAGATATCATCTAAGGTAACAAGTCACTGAATACTTATCCTCTAATTTTACCACCTTCTATATCTTTAAATTGAAAAAGGTAAAAATGTAATCAGATGATAAATTATATAAGTACTAAACACAAATTATTAGAGAATATCATTTGTGGTGGTTAACAAAATAGTTTAGGTTCACATCCTCAAGGTACTTACAATATAACTATTTGGAGAATATTCAAACAGTAATGATCTCCAACAAGTAACGTACCCTGGTGATTCTTTAGAAGTATGTACGTTAGATCTAGAACTATACAGATCTAAACATATTACTGGGTGAAAGAGAACAGACAAAATTCATAGATGTGATTATCACAAATTAAGCTAGGCCAGGGGCTATGAAGGGGGATGAAGAGATCATGAAAGTATTTATAATATTCTGTGTCATAATCTGGGTGCTAGTTCCACAGGGGTGTTCAGTTTGAGCTGCACATTTATGAATGGTATATTTGTCTGATAGAAACTACCAATTCAATAGAAAGACTTTTACAAAGTCCTATCACTGAGCATTCAAAAATCAGATTAGCTGAATTTTGGGTTAACAAGTATTGGAGGGTGTTAATGATATATACAAGCTTCTTAGATGAGCAAAAGAAAATTGGCTCAGAGAGTACATGTGGTATTATGACATAAGCAGCTTAACTGGTTTTGCTCCTAATTTCAAAAATAAAATCTTATAGGGGAAAATGATAGAAAATGCCAGAATCCTTTTCTAACACAAATACTTGTGGTTATTTAAAAGAGAACTTTTAAAATGCAGTAATTTTTAAATTAGATTTAAACAGATGTAAAAAAAAAAAAAATACTGCTAAAAAAAAAAAAACCCTAAACTGAAACTGACAGGAATCTTTTAAAATACCTATTATAATTATACTCATTTGTTCGCTTTAATAACCCATGTATATGACTTTCCCTATTAATTTCTCTATATACTGGTGCTATCATAGGGAAAACCAACTCAAAGGGATGGTGCATTTAGCAACTGTTATTCTTATTTGTTAACTACATTTATACATTTCTTCTTAAGGCATCAATATTGCATGTTTATCAATAAGGTTAAAAAAACCCTTATAAGCTATCTGATTTTTTCTTTGAGTGAACCTAAGCTAGAGTTTCTGCCCTCTAGTACTCTTTGGCTTTACAGATAAAATATTTACAAGAGGGCAAAACTGTTTGCTATGAATTTTTAGTTTACGCTTTTGGAAACAAAGGACTCCCAATGAGAATCTGCTCCCCAGTGATCACCAGGATAGGTCTCTAAACTAATTTTGTTGATTAAACACAGCAATGCTAACAAATAAGTTCTTTAAAAAAGAAAAATAAGAGGTCAAATTTTAAATTTATTATTCTAAAGTGCCAATAGGTTAGGTTATTCCTAAAAACTGACTTCTTCACAGTAAGATACTCTCCAGAAAGAGTACAATGGAAGCCACATTATTATTAATTTTAATAGTCAATGTAAACAGCTTGGGCTTCCTATGAGTTGTTTTAGTTTTTACTTTTATGCTATCATTATGCATTGTTCTTATATTTGGCTGATCCCATGATGACACTGTAAATGACAAAAAGGGAAGACAGAAAACAATGATGGCACCTATAGGAAAAAGGAAAGGAAGGCTTGAAAATATGTTAAACTCTAGTCCAGTAACAGAACAAAGCACTGAATATCAACAGAAAGAATATTTAAATACAGACAGAAACAGACTTGAAAAGTTTCTCAATTTGCTAACTCTAAAAAGGAAAAAAACAAAAGGGGTCATTCGAAAATCTAACTCAAAATGAGAAATGTATGTTAGTTACTTATATTTTAGTTAAGATACTTGGCCAAAAGAATCCTGAGGGAAAAAAAAGATTCCGGTCTTTCAAATAAGGAAGAACTAGGTATCTTCAGATTTCTAGGGCAGATAAAAAACTGGCACAGGGCTTAAAAGCTGCCCTTACTGAAAATGATTTTTAAGATTTCATAAACTGGAGTCTGAAATATGGCATCCATCAATACTCAAAAGCAAATTTATAACAAAGTAGAAATTTATAGTTTTTTAAATGCCCGAATGATTCTATATGACAGAATCATCCCTGCAAAATACTTATTTACCAAATTAGTAAAAAAAAGAAAAAACAACAACAAAAAAACTCCCAAATTTCTAATATTCAAAAATGAACAAGGCAATGTGGTAACAGCCAACACAAACAAGGCCAGAAGTTTTATTTAATATATTTTTGAAGTTTAACACGAACTGTCAACTTTGTCTTCAATTAAAAAGGACATTCCCACTACTTAAATAGCTAATATACCAACAAAAGTCTGTAGTTTTTGGTCAAATAAAAGTTACAGACAATTAGAACAAAAAAAGCTAGTCACTACTGCTCTTCTTAAATTGTAAATTTAATAAGTTACCTGAAAAGTTAAAACAAATCCTTAATTTCTATTGAGATGGGCCTGTTACCTTAGTACCAACAAGTCAACTTAAAGTGAAGAATCGCTGATCTAGAATATAAATTCTGATAATGTTTTGGCATTAACACACTACAGAGAAGTATCCACTAACTTCTTTGGTTCTGGACAATAGGCTCCCAGTAGAGACAATATTTCAACCTATCAGAAACTACAATACAGCAACTTGCCTCATTTCTGATACCTTAAATGTTTCTGGTATCTAAAAAAGAAAACAGATATGGAGTATTTAGCTGTAACAACAAATGATGAGTAGGCAACTTCTACGATTGTTTTATAAGGCAACAAAACAATCTTTTAATATTAGATCCAAATTATAAAATGTAAAGCTAAAACTTTCTACATAGTTTGATGAAAATAACAGCTATCATTCATACTGATGTAGCAGCTCACTAAAGTTAGCTATTTGAAATAAACTAACATAACATACATCTGAAAACTATTCTTAATACATTTCTAGATATATTACTGTTTTTCCTTTTTCTGAGGGAAAACTATAAATCCACCCCAAAGTACTCACCCTGGCTACATTTCATAAAGCATTTGAATGATTAAACCTTCCTGCTGTTTCATGTTGTAATTTACCTTTATGACTTTATTTACATTTCCATAGCACAAGTAAACATTCTATTTTATAACTGTGGTACTACAAATTTTAAAACCTCTTGGTTCCACAAGTAATTATTTTAAAACATTTTTAGGTAAGCAAGGAACATATCACTGAAAAGATACTTTGTTAAAAAATTTCTTTAAAGTGACACACACAGAATCAAGCCTAAGAATTAAAAGATTGTTACCATCTCTAGGCTATGTAGACCATGTCTTAACATGGCATGTACGTGTACTTATTAGCAATACTCTTTACTAATGAAAGAGGTGGAGTAGAGGCCATGAGTGGTATCCAAACTATGCTGAAGGACACAAATATGTTGCCAGGCAGAGTTAAAAGAATCTAACAAAGCTTTGTGTGAATTTTAAAAACATCGCTTATGCTTAATTTCTATTAATTAGACACAGAATGATGGAATGCTAATAATTATCAAAATAACTGAATAGAGCGAACACTACTTAAAATGTGTATTAAGCAGAAAGATAAACCAAAGCATCTTGTGCCATAAATGAATGCCAAGACTTCATTCTTTATTTAAAACACTTAGAAATAATCTATATAATATTTCTGTGGAAAAAAACAAACCATTTTGGGGACTTACAAAACAGTAATACAAATCTAGTGAATTCTAGCAAACTTACTTGACGCTAAAGTCTCTGTCCAAGAATTAATCAATAACTACTTTGATACCCTAGTCTTATCCCTCCTCCAATTTCACTAAGGTTTTTACAGAAAAATCACATAAAATAGCTCAAAATTGAAATGACTTTGATAGGTTTATGTTTTTATATTAAAATACACATGGGTAAGTAGATATTTAACATAAAATTCAATAAAATATGAATATTCTTAAAAGTACAGTTAGAATAATATGTATATAGTCTATATAAAATACATTGTCCTTTTGGTTTATTTTGCTGCTTTGTACCATGCTAGATACCATATGATTTCCCCTCTCCCCTCCCCCCAACAAATAATAAAGATCAGTTAATGATGAAAAAAACAGTACAGTGCAAAGCAATTCATGCATACACTTTTGCATGTATGCATTTTATACTTAAGTATTCATACCTATCCCAGAGGTTCTTTGATTCCTGAAACGTGTTCAAATGGAACGCTTGGTAGAAAGCAGTTGAAGGATTCCTGTGAGATCCAAGAATCAAATGGAAATGAAGTTGAGAAAGTATAGTAAAAATCACTACTTTTCAAAAAAAGGTGGAAGATTTTAGATTTCTAATACAGTGTAATTGCTTTAACAAAAATGAGGGGGAAACCCATCTAAGCTTGTTTAAAAACATTTTAAAAGAAATTAAAAACCTGGAGAAAATCCAGAGGACCCTGACAATTCAGGATCACAGTTCTAAACCTAATACCAACAAAATTAAATACTAACTGGTATCCAATTGGGGTGTGTGTGTGTGTGTGTGTGTGTGTGTACATGCTTATACAAATATGTACATGAATGACCATGGTTCAATCAACACCTCTCTATCAGATGCCTTTGTAAATCCCAAAGCTGTCCTCAGGTATAGTACTGTTGTCAAATAAGCTACATTTTCATGATATAAAAAATTCTTCGTAGGATCAATTTGCTAGGGTTTGATGATGAACAATAAGATCTCTTCTAGATTGGATTTGAAACAATTTTCACTGTCATAATCTATTAATATGTGGTTTCTTTGGGGTTTTGCAACTATATGGCAACTTTCTTACATCAAAGCTGTGACCCTCTTAAGTGGTTAAAAGCATATTCACTATAATCGCCATCCTTTTCAACACTTCCTGAGGGAACATTCCCTTGGGCTATAAACTAGAAAAAACTGGAGGGCTCTTCTGGTCAAACTCCAGGAAGAAACTTCCTTTCTTCCACCTAAGCATATTTCCAGTCTCCCTCACCCCTAACCGGTACATTAAGGAATCAACAAAATTTGCCATATCGCTTCTAAAATTCTTAACCCATGCTATATCAGACTAACAGGAGCAAGCTAAAAATATATTATCCTTAACAGTATATTGCATAGTACAATACAGTATTTAATATTACATACAGTATATAATATAGTATATGATAACCCAAGTACTTACTGTACACTAGACAATTCTGCAATAACCCTAAGATGTAGACGTATGTATGTAGATAGATGTATATCTATCTCACACATAAAGAAAATTGGGTCAGATAAAAAATAACCCGGGCGGCTCTCCTGCATGCTGACTATGAAGGTGCCTCTTTTTCTTTCTCCTTTTCCTAATAAACCTGTCCTTGTAAAATGTGGGGGAAAAAAGTAACTTGGATGTCACAGAGCTAGTAGGAGGCAATCTTTCCTGGAATTTATGCTCTTAAACGATTATGCTGAACATATAGTAGAGCTAAATTTTAACCTCTATAGATCTGTCTTTATCACTTAAATTGCATTCATATCTAGCCTGCAAGGCAACTGAGGAATTGAGACTATACATAAAATTCCTAGCATAAGCCAACAGCCAATAAACAGCTATTATTTTAACATCAAAATGAGGTTCAGATTAGTATGGCAATTCTGAGTGCCTTTAAAGAGTCTCTGCAGGGCCTCCCTGGTGGCGCAGTTATCAAGCTATCGTCAGCCACTGCGGCCTGAGTTTGATCCCCAGCCAGGGAGCTAACCTAAATGGTTCAGCAGGCCTCTCCTGCCTCTCCTGCTAATACCCTCAGCAGTGCATTTCCATAGATTCTCCTGTTCTGCTCATCACTGTCTCTGGTGAATCCTCTCACCCCCCCCCCCCCGCATCTCTGGCCTACACCCAAGTCCTTGTATTCATAAATAAATAAAAAATAAAAAAATCTAAAAAAAAAAAAAAAAGTCTCTGCAGTGTTACCAGTACAACAAGAAAAATATTTTACAACCATGAAACAAAACTAATAATAGAATTTCAAAATTCAGATTAAGGCTTGAGTTATGTTATCTACAGTATTAAAATTTTTTTTTAGAAAACATTTAAATTTTACTCAGTAGCCTATCTCTTAGATTATTACAAATTAGGAAAGGCAGACAGACAGTGGACACTAGAATGTCACTGAAGCAACTATTTGATTAATTAGGAGTCTTTAGAATATGTACTTCTATTTGTTTGCCCTACTTCAACTCCTTTTTATTCATTCAAACCTTTTTCTACTTTTCTTCTGACTAGGTCTAAGGCAATCAAAGGTAGTGATTAGTCTACTATTTTCAGGAAAGGATTAAGAGACTATTAACTACTGTTTAAAGTTTACAACCTTTCAAGATATATTTGTCAGGTCTCTCTCTAACCCCCATTTCACTGTACTTAGAAATCAGCTTGCCAAATTAAATGAAAGCCAACTGAACCAAGTAGCAACTCAATTCAGCTTTTTTATTACCAGGCTTACCCAGGACCACAGAACCAGTTTGCTATTCACACAGGTCTGTTTGGATACCCTGGGTTTAAAATAAATAGTGACTCAAAGAGATGGATAGCAAATACAAGAGAATAACAAAGAGTAAACTTAGAAGTTATTCTGCAAGTCATTAATTTAAAATTCATTAAAGAGTATTTATACAATGTATTTTTAAGGCTAATTCTTTAAAAGAAGTTTAGATCCACCAACTTTGGAAAAATAGGTATAAATCTATACATATATAATTTGAATAAAATTCATATGCCACATAATGGTTTTAAATGAAGTTAGATGATATAAGGTGGGAAATTTCAGTATTTTACAGCACAGACTTTAATAATAAAATGTTTCTTGTAAGTCAAATGTATAAGTGAAAAAAATATCTACAGTTATATATTTTGGGATGTGAAAAGAACCTATGAAATAAAGCACTGTAAACAGATAAAAGTCTAGAACATGTAACAAATACACTTCATTTGCAAAAGTTGACAGTTACCACTTTCTCCATATATGCAAAATGAAGAAGCCACACAGGGTTATATAATCTATGTATTACAGAAAATTCTAAATGTTTAGATTCTTATTATAAAAGTGGAAATTTCTGATTTCTAGGGTTATTGCAGAATACTTTCGCTGGGATGTTATACAGAAACTGAGATTTTTAGCAAATATTAACAATAATGAGTCTCAAAACATTGATTAACAAGCATAGATTAAATAAGTCAAGCCAGTGAAATCTTTCCAATCAAGAACTTCAAAAGAGTCCTTTCTAAATACCCAAAGGCCTAATCATCAAAGACTTTGGTTTTGGGTGGAGTAAAATTGAGGAAATTAACAGCCCAAGGAAAACACTTGCTATTGGGGGCCATTTCAAGGCTATAGCTTACGAAATTTGAAGGCACTAAGAGGTAACTGACATGTTAAAACTTTATTATAAAGAAATACATTATGCAGTTTTGGCTATAAATCCTCTTCGACCTGTTCAGTAAAATTTGAAACCAGTTTTCTAACAACCTATTTGATGTCAAGTTAAATTACAAATCTAAATACAAAGCCAATAAACAGCTTTTAGGAAGAATGAACTGTAGTTTAAACTGAATTTATTTTACTCACTAAATGAAGGTGCTGTTTTCCTATTTGCAGACATTTTTCAAAACCCACAGGTTATTTTTTATTCTTTGAGTTTATATACTAGCCTGCCATGTTAATTTTCAAGTACATGAAAGGTGATTCAAAGTATGTGGCATTTGCTTGCTTTACTGAGATACTATCTTTGTAAAGTAACTATTACTGATAAGAAAAACATACATACAGTTTTACACCTCAAAACTAAGCTACAAAAATTATTGAAGCTTAAGGGACAAGGTACATGAGCCTTGAAGTCAATGAATACCTTGTACTTCTATGTTAAAACAACTTCAGTGATCTCTAAACAGAAACTAGAGAACTCTATAATAAACAGAGGGCACAACAAAGGCCATCTCCAAAGTTATCATCCACGGATTTTAAATGTTTATAAAAATATCCTTCGGTAAATGCAATAGATCAGTGTCTACAGGTAAACTAACCCTTCCCTCCTATCTTACAGTCAGCAAGGTAATAAAAGAAAACTAAGTCTGGAGATACCCAAAACTACCAGCTTTAGTGTCAGAAAACCTGGGTCTGAATTTAGTTCTTTGCCACTTAACAGCTGTGAGTCAATTCCTCAAAGCCTCAGTTCCCTTAACCCATAAAAACCAGGGGGAAAACACTTCCTTGCAGGTTGCTAAGAAGATCAAATGAGATTACATATACATAAAACCTGACACAATTAAGCTTGGTTTGTGTTTAATATATGGTTATAGATTTTATTATGCTGTAAATAAAATCAAGTTTTGGTACAGTATCTTATTAACTGACATGTATCAAATATTTCATTGTTAGTAAGGTAATATAGAGGCAGAGTAAAGAAAAATAGAATACCGAAAGAAAAACAGAATACTTAAACTCAAAAGTTAGGTATACCAAAATAACTAGTACATTCTAACGCTTACATTCTAACGCTTGAGAACCCTGGCTTTTGGGACTCAAAGCCTGTACTCCCTCTCTCCCACAGGTATTCCCTATACATAACTTTACCACAGGATTCTAATTAAAAATACAACAATCAGGCGTGCACACACACACAAATACAACAATCACTGAAAAGATACGGAAATGGGTCCACGATACATATTAACAAGAGTTTCAAGAAAAACCTTTAATAGCAACCATAAACTTATGATGAAAATCTCAATTTCTTACCATGACATTGAAGCTTCACTCTGGTTCCTATCAATTATTCACATTTTCCAAATCTGACATAGTCTCATTCTTCCACATTGTTACACAAACTGCCTTCTTCCCTACTTGGAGAAACCAACCTTTTCTCTAATCTATGATCTAGTCTGAATGATCCTTTTAAGATTCAGTTCAAGAGTTAGGCTCAAAAGGGTGCACTGGTAATAATAGTCTGAGGACAAAACTGGGTGGCCGGAGGACAGATGTGTCAGACAGACTTTCAATTTATACTCTTGATTAAAGTTTGAACTGTATAAATGCAGAGAATAAATTAATTCTTAAACAGAAGTCAATCTAACTACTTCTTCCCACACCAATCTGATGTGATATCTTAAACTGTTTCCTATTTTAGCACCTTATATTTACTTTTCAGAGCCTATAGTGTACATCAAACTATGCATCTGATAACTATTTTCATATAGCATGAAAT